TGTATTGTTGGCTATTGCTACAAATATACCCCAGCGACTTAAGACTGGTTTTGTGCTCCAGGGTCACATATTAACTAATTAGGGGTTCAAGCATGAAACTCTGGCAGGGTTTTCCCAGCACTTTTGATAGTTTATGGACGTGGCCTTGTTTACTATATTACTCACCAAAATATCAAATTTTCACAAAACATGATGCAGATCTGAAGGATGTAATGTGCCATGTAAAATTTGCTGTATGACTAATTATAATAAAATTGCAATGTGCCTTAGTGCAATTTTCAAATTGCAAATGTGTGATTGAATATATATATATATATATATATATATATATATATATATATATAATCTGCATGTTTCAAAGTGAAGTATGGCACTGTGTTCTTTTATGTGTGAGCAGCTCATGATCCATTTCTTGTCTTTTTAAGCTTTAAAGGCTTTCTGCAGTCTCAATGGTTACACATTTAAAAGTGATTAAATGAAATATTAGTATCGTAATATTACAGTTGTACTCTAAAATAAAATTACTATTATTATCATTGTTATTATTTTATAGTCATATTGTTATGTAATCACAGGATTCTTGGCCAAATTGTGCCGCCATACAGAACACAGCAAACCTGGAGTTGAAAAAGACATCAAAATGTTTATCCGAGAAAAAAATCACAATTATAATTAAAATGACTTTTTTTTTTTTTTTTTACCAAAATCGTGTAGTTGTGCACAATTTATTTTTTGCACAGAAATTGTAAGCATTGCATAAATTGAATGGAGGCAGATCTGAATATGAATCATGCTGTTCTGACACAATTTGGAATGCAACAATGCAAAAATAAAGTTTGCAAACACTGCAAGTGTTTGTGTTGTTTCTGACCAAAGTGCCATCTGATCTACCCGTAAAACAACCAGAAACAGTTTACTTTTTTCATGATATTTAGGGGTGCGCCTGAGAACAAACCAAAATATATACTGTATCTCCTTTACTAACTAAGCTGCAAAAACAGTGGAAACCCAACAGGAGTATGCAGTTTTGAGAAATATGTTTCGAGAGGGTCTGTGGGTGTGTCATTTGAGCCGAATACAGTTCTGTTGGTTATCGGCAGTTTAATTGCAGCTTTGGTGCTGTAATTTGTCATTTTGTGCTAGTAGTTTGTTCATGTGTCATTGTGTCCTTCCTCACAGAGGCACCTCCAATGATGAGATGTGTAACTTCTACATCATGTACTACATGGACAACACCCGTGCTGTGCCTTACATGAACTGTGGAGATGACGGCAGTAGTGAGCTGTTCCGAAACATCCCTTCTGAGGCCAATATTCTCATCCCGGTCAGTCCGGACCATATGATGTCCATGAAGCATGAGTCAGCTCCTCATAAAGGTACCATCCAAGAATAGACGGTTGAAGATTTTACACTATGAGTGGGCAGTATGACTGAAGTCTTATACCATGGGATGAATGCATTACTTTTAGGGATAATCCAGTGAAACCAGAATCCAGTTAATATTTTGCAAATTAAATATACTTGATTTTGTTGTTGTTGTTGTTTTTTCTTATTTCTTTCTTGATTTCCACAGATGCTGTGGAGCTGCAGGAGCCCAAGAGAGAAGAGGAAGTTCTGGATCAGGGTAAGATGTTTAAAAATACTCAAGATAATCAAGACTGAAACACACAATCACTGCTTGAATACCATTGCAAATCTCATTTGACAGACACAGTGGCTGAATGACATTCTTTAGTTGTGAAAAACACAGTGGTTTAACAGTCAAACTGTAGTACAACTCATAAATAGAGGCTCATAGACATGAGTGTGTCAGATAAGGGAGATGTCCAAATGGAACAAAAAAATCAAACAGGTTTTGAGTGGCATGAGCCTTGATAAAATGTTAAACACTTCACACATTATATGATTCATTAGTGACATGAATAACTTTAAAGAAAGGGATATTATGGAAACCAAACAAAAAAAACACCATTATCTACTACTCCATGTAGCTGTCAATGAAAATCAGCTGTGTGTGTTGACATGTTTATCGAAGATTTTTTAAGACATAAAAAATCACGGTTTCTTTCATCGTTTAGATTGTAAGTTAATTCTGCAACTGTTTGATTATGAATGCACTAGTGCATGACAGCCTTTACAGAAACACATCAACGCCTTTGACGTTAAAGGGGTCACCGGATGCAAATTTCACTTTTACGTGTTGTTTGTACATAAATGTGTGTTGGCAGTGTGTGTTACACAACCACCCTATAATGATAAAAAGCCACCCAGTGTTTTTTTTTTTTTTATCCCTATAAATAATATCCCCTTTATCCAATCATTAGCATTTAAAGAGACATGCAACAAAACGGGTTGTTGTGAAGTTAGTTGTTTTTGACAGGGTAAAAAGGGTGTTGTTTTACACTACCATTGAGAAAATTTTAACCAAAGTATGTTATAGACTTTTCATTAAGACCCTAAAGCATCATATCAACTTGTGGAAAATGGGCATCCAATGACCCCTTTAAGAATTGTGAAACTTGTGAAATGTCTCTCACCAAACATTGTACTGTTTGTGAACATCACATTTCGAGTACCTGATCACGTTAGTTTGGGATTGTATGTATCTTTGCTACATTTTAGCATGGATAACTTGTCAATAAGTCACAAAACTGTTATTAAGCAGTCAAAGATTATTTTCACTCTGGTCAGCTTTCAGATAAACTCAGTATAAATACACATTGTTGTTCCTGAAGTTATTAGATATGTTATCACCAAAACCCTGTTTTTCATCAGTTAAACAGGTGAACAGATAACTACTAATCCACCACAATTCAAACATAAGACTGCATTCGAAGCGTTTTGCCATTTACCAATAGTTTTTTAATACATGTATGGTGGGAGGCATTGATGCAATGCCAGCAGTGGGCATAAGTGTTAAAGTAAAGCAAATGTTTCATTCACATCATCAAAGACAGGGATTAAACACAGTTATGATTGTGTGGGGAAAATATCACCATAACTTGACCTCAGGGAAAATAATCATATATTAAAAATAATAAGTCATGACCCATTTACCCATCTTGAACCTGCTGAGAGCTCGCTGGTACATCTCAGAGATTTCTCTGCATGAATTAAAAACAGAATCTGTTAGCATCTCATTTTTGCAAAATTTAATCCCAAGACTGCTTCTATTTAGCTTCATAACAAATGTATATACCTTCCTAGTGGAAGGCTAGGCTATGAATCCTATTTATGCTTATAAAATGGCTGTGCATAGTGTTGGATTGTTCCTTTCCATATTGTGTTTTTTTATAAAACAAATTTACAGAATAGATTTATGAATGTTATGTATTAGCACAGCTCCCTGGGGAGACAGAACAGTGACTGAATTTTGCCTATGCATTACTCACTTCCCAAACCACCTCCACAATACTTTTGGCATTGTTTTAAATGCATAAGTCCAAACATGATTGAAAAAGGTAGACCTATCATGCATGCTTTAATTTGTATGGATTGTTGGACTACAAACAGCTTGTCAATAATAATACTTATTTCTCAAAATAAGTATGGTTTTGTTAGATTGGAATTGTTCAAGGATTTTTGTGTAGAGACTTGGCTATATTTGTTTAAGCCACAGCTGTTGCATGGCCAGTAAAATACCTTGCTGCATCTTGAAGTTTTTTTATGGCCACTCTGACCTGAACCTTGGGGTGCGAGTCAAGATGGGTTGAAAGGCAGTTAGTTAATAAGAAACAACATTTGGACCAATGAGAAATCTTTTCCAGTGGTAATGGGATCTTCTTCTTGCTCTGTAGGAGGTGTCTGGCAGTTGTCTTAGAAGACTTAGAATAAAATCTTATCAAACATTTCACCACTGGCAGTCAGAGAAGGGCCTTGCTGCTAACTACACTATACGGCCCTTACCGTATATATATATTTTTAACCAGTAATCTTTCTAAATTAGTGTAAAATCTCATTTGGTAATGCTTATTGATTATGGAAAATCAGAGTGGATTTGATTCTGAGCTGGTGAAATGAAATTACCAACAGAGTGGTGACATCACATCGTCAGATAAAACAAAACATCAACCAGCACTTCATTAAAAAGCGTCACGGTCGCACTAAATCTCATATAGCAGCAGAAGGCATTTTACAATTGCCTTGCAATGAAAAGAGCTTTTCTCAATTAAAGTGCTGTTAAAGCCCAGGCTGAACAGATTGGATGAGTGTTTCTAGAGCCTACACAGAGGCGCAGCACAGTGGTGTTTAAAGGGATGCATCAGGTGTATCCTTCACATCTTCTAATCACCCACAATCCTTTGCACACAGTCCCTATTCACAGAAAAATGTCAGAAAAACTATTCAGCACCGAACTGGCTCAAGTTCAGCATGAAATGTTAAGGAGCCATCAGAAGAGAAGTTGACAACAGTGGTACAGAAACCTGGGCAATGCTTCAGGGATCTGCTTATGATTACAGAGCCCTTTGTGTGTGACAGAAGCCAGACTTTAAAGAGAAATTAAACAGCAGGAATTTATCAGGGGTACAATCACCAAAGTAGAGCAGTTAATAAATGCTGGTTCTGTGGTGAAGAAGTACTGTTTGAATTGAAAGTACAAGAGAGAAATGCCAAAAACAAAGACACATTTAAGGTAGAATCACTATAAGATGGACCTACTGTACAAAGCCAGAATATCATCTATGAATGTTGCCTGTTTGGACAATCAGAGGTTTCTGTTTGATAGAATATTTCACCAGGCCTTAGAGAAAGACAGTCATTGATGCTTATCCAATGTCACCGATCTATGAGACACTGGAGTCCCAGATGGTGCTGGCTGGTTCAGCACACTAAACTTGTTAGCTTACTGTCAGGTAGGGAGCTGCTCATGTTCTGAAAGTTTGGGGTCACTTAGAAATCTCACATTGTTCATGAAAACATACATCAAATAATTGTTTTTTCTTTCGTCAAAGAATCTTCCATCTGTAGATCTTTGACATTCTATTCATCAATTCTTTCAGGTAATCTGAGGAAATGTCATCCCATCTCCCACAAGCAGTTGCCACATCAGTGCTATTCTATTAATTAATAAGTTGAAGGTGTCCCACTTTACATTCGGTAGCCTTAACTACTATGTACTTACATAAAAAAATAAGTACAGTGTACTTACTGTGTTCATATTGCAAGATTAGCATGTTACTAACATGATGTTAACATGATTAACAAATTACTAGCATGGTTAACAAAGTTACTAGCATGATTCTAGCATGATTAGCATGTTGCTAGCATTTTTCTAACATGTTTAACATGTTACTAGTATGATTAGCCTGTTGCTAGCCTGTTGTTAGCATGATTAGCAAGATACTAGCATGATTAGCAAGATATTAGCATGATTAGCAAGTTACTAGCATTTTGTTAGCATGTTTCTAGCATGATTAACATGTTACTAGCATGTTGTTAGCATGATTAGCAAGTTACTAGCATGTTGCTAACATGTTTCTAGCATGATTAACATGTTACTAGCATGTTGTTAGCATGATTAGCAAGTTACTAGCATGTTGCTAACATGTTTCTAGCATGATTAACATGTTACTATTATGTTCGTAGCATGTTTCTAGCATAATTAGCATGTTACTAACATGATGTTAGCATGATTAGCAAATTATTAGTATGGTTAACAATTTACTAGCATGTTTCTAGTATGATTAGCGTGTTTTAGCATTTTGTTAACATGAACCGTAAGTTACTAGCATATCTCTGGCATGATTAGCATGTTACTAGCATGTTGTTAGCATGATTAGCAAGTTACTAGCATGATTAGCATGTTGCTAGCATGGTTCTAGCATGATAAACGTATACGTATGTGTGTAATTATAAATGTAATTACAGAAATGAATTACAGATGTAATTACATGCAGGTATTTTTTAAAATAGAAGTACAATGTAAAAACATGTATGTACTGTACACAATAAGTGCATTGTACCAAATGATTAATTTAAAGGGGACATAACACACACAGTTTAACCCAAGCTCATGTTAATCTGGAGTACCTATAGAGTAGTACTGCATCCTTCATATCTCCAAAAAGTCTTTAGTTTTATCATATTTATGAAAGAAAGATACAGCTTTACGATTCTCTCCGGAAACAGCCGAGCTCCTCGAGGCACGCCGTGGCTAAAGAGTGACGAGCACTTGGGCACCGAATGCCAACAAAACACAGACATTTGATGCCGTTTCACTTACTGTCTGCATTTCTGAATCATGACCGGGATCTTTTATAGCTGGGACCGCTCCATCTTTCAGTATCAAACGATGTGCAAATCCAGCGTCGAACTGGGCCTTGTTTATAAAACGTTCGTCAACAAACACACTTACGAAACTCCGTTGCTGCCCCGGAAAAACAAACTGCATCCACTGTTTATATAACTCATTGATCTCGCGAATTAGCGAATTTTACTATACAAATATTTTTAATTGGATATTAAAGTTTATATGGGAATATTACAAGACACGCTGATCCTTTAACAATGCATTGGCGCAAAAAACGCACACCTTTTGGACAAATCTGCCACAAATAGAAATACTCCGGCATACATCCAAATTGTTTTTTGAAACTTTGTCCATGCTTAGCATGAGAATCCAACTCTTTAACAGTGTAAACAACTCAGAATGCATGAAACAGCATTGTACCTCCCCTTTAAATATAAGTACATAGTAGTAGTTAAAGGCCACCTAACATTGTTGCCATTTAATCATAATTAAATATAGGGATTGTAACATGGCAGTCTGTCTCATGGTTGAGTTTAAACATATGTGCCCTCTCTCCCAGTTTGAGCCATGATCCTCAAAATATATGTGCCTGGCATCATAACATGTTGTCATTAGAAAGGAGGCATCTGTCAGCGGATCCGTCTATGTGCAGATATATTAGGGATCTCCTGAAGAGCGTGAAGCATTGATCATTGTAGCCAATAGTCAGGGCCGTTTCTAGCCAATTTGACGCCCTAGGCGAAATCCCTATTGCCCCAAATTATATTATTATTAGTGCTGTGTTCGATACGACAATGTATAGTCACAGAGATTTGTCGATACAAGTATCGATACAGCTGGCCCTGTATCGATATTGTGGCACGTGCGCTGCAGTGGACCGCGCTTAATTTGAATACAAGAACA